TGCTTTCATACTTAATCCTGCCTCAGCCATCATTGAATTCTTGTGAATTTTGTTGTAAGTTAAATTTTTTTTCTTTAAAGGATTTTTTTAATTGGGGAATTGGGGGATGGGAACAGTGCTGGGGAATTGGGGGAAAGGGAGCAGACAAGTTGCTGTCCTTTAGTTCTTCAGTCTAGTTGTGGAGGACGTTGCTTCACTGGCCCAAGTTGGCACCATCATTGCAGTTTTCCCGGGTGAGGCAGATCAGTCGCCGGCTTTTGGACGGCCGCTCAAGGCGGCTGCTGGCCGTTCACGCTGGCTGCTGGCTGCATACGGTAGCCCATGGCAACCCACTGCCACAGGGGCTGCAGTCTACGCCGTCGCCGGTGACTCACGGCAGCCCAGCTCCAGGTTGAGCTGTTGTTCAGCATCTTAGCTGTGGAGGGCAGTGTCACTGGCCTCATATGTGGGATTCGAACTGGGGCCCTCTGACATCCCAAGCCATCTCTTAACCAACGCACCACTCGGCCGGCCCTGTTGTAAGTTGAATTTGATTGCAACACTAAATTGCCTATTTTTGCTTAATGTTCTGCTGATCATATAATTTGAAAGACTATTCAACACTTCAAAAAGGATAGTAATAGTTATAATATTGCTGTTAGTGCATTTTGACATTGAATAACAGATGACATGTATAATGAATAAATAGCATGGCTGCTTAGATTGCATAATTATAGGTTTGTTTGACTTTAGGAAAATTATATGCAGGTCAACTTCATCCATTCAGGCACTTTTTATATTATATAAATATCAGAGCACTTCATCTAAAAAGCCCTCCTTTAGTGATTATCATTCTTTGTTTTTCTAGGGTTTGCCCCTGAACAGGAAAAACAAAAAACAAAACAGAAACCATCTTTAAAGAGTGGGTTTAATGCTATGGCCCTCCCCGGTCTACATAACACTTGTGAAGATCTTTGGCTGCTTTTAGCAGTCCGTGGTGTTTGAGGATGGTGCTGACCTGGATCACTGGGTACAGACACAGATTTGTAGGACAGCCCTGGTCCTGGTATACTAACGGAAACAGTTACAATTTTATGATGCAAATCAAGGTTTATCTGTGCCCACTGGACTTGATTTGCTGGGGCAGGGGCAGGGGGACCTATTTCAGTTAGTTATTATACGAACTTCTTAACAGTCTCTTAATTAGTGTGCCAGATATGTTCCGCAGGTCTCCCAGTCACCAAGCTCTGTCCATGAGCCTTGCCTGTGTGTTTATTGGCTTGTAAATGAATGTTCAGGTACGTCACTTAGGTTCATTTGATTGACACAAGGGTGGACTGTAATAAATGCATGCTCATAGGATGGCACATCTAAGAAGCAGGCATCTCCCTGGACTCCCAGACCCTGCTTGGCTAGAGAAAGGCAGTCGGAGGCAGGAGTGTAATGAATGGTTTGGCACTGGCCTGCACTCAGTGTGTCTCTGCAACGTGCAGCCCTCCAGGACTCTTCCCCTTGAATATTTCCCTCCTGCTGCCCTTCCTGTGCTGCCTGGTCATCAGCCCATGGCTGCTGCTTCCATCTCTGCGGCTGCCGTGCCCTGGGCCTGGGTCACGTTTGACTTCTTTGCAGTTAGAGTTGGCTTAGTCAGTCTCCCAGCATTGAGTGGGTGCCTTGGCTGCTTTCATAGCACCTCTGGTTAGCCTTGCTGATGCAAAAGGTCGCTCTCTTCACCAGTGTCAAAACTTAGGACAGTTGACCCTTGAATAACATGGGGTTAGGGGTGCTGATCCACTGCGCAGCCAAAAATCCGCATGTAACCTTTGACTTCCCCCCAAACTTTACTATTATCCTACTGTTGACCAGCTGCTTACCGATAAAATAAACAGTCGATGAACACACGTTTTGTATGTTTTATATATATATATATATATATATATATATATATATATGTATATTATATACTGTATTCTTACAATAAAGTAAGCTACAGAAAGGAAAACATTAAGAAAATCATAAGGAAGACAAAATACATTTACAGTATTTACTGAAAAAACCTGTGTACGAGTGGACCCTGTGCAGGTCAAACTCGTATTTGTCAAGGGCCAACCGTGATCTTCCAAAAGGAGAAAACCATTTTCTTTTTATCAAGTTCCTCTACTTAAGGAGTTTGGAAAAGGTCTTCCAAGGACCAGGTCTGATAGCACTGGAGTGGCATTGCCTTGTGTCCTACTTACACTGGATCACCAGGGGGCTGAGAGGAAGCGCAGGGCAAGGCTTCCTTTCGCCTGATGGTTTGTGTCTTGGATCGTCATGAAGGAGTTGGTGGTGCCTGTGCTTGTCTTCGCGTTTATGCACCGTTTAGCACAGGTGGGCAGGTGGACAGACTTTGCAGTTAGAAAGTGTAAGTTGGAGGCCTGCTCTGACTTGTGCAAGTTACTTTAGCTGCTTAGTGCCTTGTTTTTCTCACATATAAAGTGGAGATAAAGCTCCCTATCTCTTAATGTTGGTGTGAGGTTTAATGTATGGTGTGCTCAGGGCCGTCTTGGTACATAATAAAGTGTTTACTAATAGTTAGCTACAGCTACTATTATTATATACTATTTTCATCATTGTCATGATTTTCCATGCTGTATCACCTGCACCAATTTTCTCTAGTGCCAGGCTAGCAGGGGCGTGGTACAGTAATAGTTTCCTCTCTGAGACTGTCATTCTGTGAATTTTCATATTTTTTGTGCGATTCCCTTCCTCCCTGCTCCACCCCTCTCCCCTCCTTACTGGTGCCAACTTGTTTCCTGTGGAAAAATCACAATGAAAATACAATAAGCAAATGAATTTATGTCATGTCTTCTTTATATTTTAATTCAATTGAATATCTGAGACAGGACAATTTATAGTTTGGTGAAAGTTTGATTTCCAAATTTATTAAATAATGGCCATGTAAGAATATTGAAGGGAGAGTTGCTGTAATTCTTTGTTGGATCCCAAAAACACTAAGGTATCATTTTTGCCACACAAATGGATTAAAATCTGTTTGGAGAAATGAAACAAATGCATATAAGAAGACAAGATTGTTTATGGTTAAAAGCGCCGAAGTATCAAGTATAATTGTTGATAAATTAAGTGACATCCTTCTAGGCTGGTGTAGTTTAAAAGCAGGTAGGGCCTGCGCTCAGCCCTTGAATGATGCATAGAATTTTGTTGGTGTGGATTTTTAGGAAGGGCTTTCCCTGTAAGAGGAGAGATTTTTGAGAGTAGGACTATATACTGAGGAACAAAGGAGCAGGGAACCCCTGTCTGGTTAGTCCCTCCACACCTACCCCATCCCCCAGCCACTTTTTAAGTCAACAGCCAATTCCTTGTTTATTTGTTTATTCCTTTTGTCCTCCCAAATTCTTGAATTCTTCAGGGATTTGTTTGGTCTGCTTGCCTTTTTCTTGCAACACTATGTTCTTCTTTTCCCACCTCAGTTCTTGTTCTTTAGTTGGAAAAGACACAGATTTCCTATTGTCTTCCCCATCCTACCATTTCTGAAACACGAACCCAAAAATAACATTTTTAAAAAGAGGTTATTATTTCAGAAATAAGAGAAGTAAGGGTTAACAAGAACAAAGAGAATTTCCAAAGTTATCTTATCATAGCTGTGGTAGGTTGTAACTTGAGATGGATGTTCTCAAGGCCCCTCTTCCATTGTGGCGCCTCTGCTAAGTTCTCGTCTTCCGTCTTCCACCGCTGGTCCCTCCAGCCCTTCTCCGTAACAGAACATGACACTGACTTTTAGCCTGAAGTTATCTGAGTGGGCATCACTTCCAGGTGTGGGGTGACTCGCAGTTCTTTTCAGGACTAGCTTCTTGATCTCTTCTGGTGTTTTCCCTTGGTTGCCTTAGGCCGTACTATTCATCATGTGGGTTCTTCAGCTTGTCCCAACATTCTTAGGCCTAGGAACTTTCGCTGAGGCCGCCTGCACTGCCACAGTTGGCGTCCAAAGATTCTTCCCTTAGGCTGCATGCCTCCAAGCACCGACCCAGCCCTCGCTCACTTTCTCCTTTGCTGGGAAGGTGTCCTTGGCCTTGCGTTTGAAATTACTGTCTGATTCAAGTCTTTCTGTTATCCATGATAATGAGAACCATCATCCTATTTATTTTATTTTGCAAACCTTTTCATAGCATTTTTCATGCTGAAGGCACATTTCCAAGTGCTTTCAAAAACTAATTTATTTAGTCCCAAGGGAGGTTGCCAACATTCTATCAATTTCCACTGATTTAAGCTCCTAACAAACTTGTATTTCTTATACTTCAAAGACTTTTGCCCCCAATAGATCCTTTTGTGGGTTCCTCGTTAGTTTGAAGATACCTCTCATTACTGGATTGTTGATAATAAGTTTATGCTCTTGGTCCTTACTCAGGTTTACCTGCTTTACTCACCTTGTGACTGGTCCAAGTATCAGGATCCAATACTCATAAAATACCCTGATTCTACTAAGTAAAGGAAAAAAGTACCATACTTTCATTTTTCCCTAGATTTTGCCGTGCCGTGGTTGTTCTTACTATCTCTTGACTTTTTTGTTTTTAAGAAGTTTTTTTTTTCCCCTATTCCCTTGCTTGTCTTCAGTAGGAGGATGGGTCTACATAACCCAAGCTACTCTTATACAAGTGGAAATCTTCCTCATTTCGTCTCCAGCTGTCCTGTGAGGTTCACGTGCAGATAGATGGCTGGGCCACGTTAGCAGATGAGGGTCCTGGGCTGGGAGAAGTGCAGTGATTGATTTAATGTCATATGAGCAAGTGGCAGAGCCTGGAACTTGTGTGTCTGAGTCTACCTTTCTGCCTTTGAGCCTTTTCCAATTGGGTGTGTTCTTAGAATTTTGAACGAAGCTGGCCTATGTTGAGGAAGTTTTAAAAAATATGTAATACCTTTACAAAATCATGTAGAAGACCACTGACTGATGTAGATTATGCCAGTGCAGCTTTTTCCAGATGTGGCATTTTAAACGGAAAATAATAATTGTTTTCTGTTTCTTTTAGCTGAAGTGAGTAGTGAATACAGTATGGACAAAGCAATGGTTGAATTTGCTATGATGGATCGGGAACTGAACCATTATGTAAAGGCTGTGCAGTATGCGATGAATCATGTAAGTATGCACACTCACCTGGTTACCACTCTGACCTAGAAATAAAAACACAAATCAAAATGTGTGTTTTCTCTAACCTTTACTATTTCCTTACCCTTACTTTAGCAGCTAGTCATTTCTTCTTAATCAGGACGTTCATAAAATAGGAATCTGAAATATTTTCCCAGCTAGGCCACCTAGGTTTAATGAGGACATTACATCTATTTTAGATTTTCCTGCATTTTTTTTTAGTCTTGAAATTTTAAGTCTAAGCCTCCTCCTTCGAATGTGAGAAGATTTTCTTAATAAAACGCTACAGATCGGCATTGAACTTGTTTTTATTGTTGTGTTTGCTTAAGCATACAATTTAGACCAGGTTTGGTTACTCATTCTCCAGCTTTAACTAATATGCAGCGATTGCAAAATTCATAGACCCAGATAATATGGAAGAGTTTCAGAGTACGTTTAAAAATAAAGAAGTTTGGCATTTTGTTTTTTCCAGGAGCCAAACTTATCTTTGTTGACTCCAGCTGCCACAGGAACAACAGATAGGCAGTTAAGGTGGGAACATAACAACATCCTTTTCAGCAGTACTGTGTTGAGTAAGAAATGAGCAATATGATTGCTGTAATGTTTCTGAGAAGTCCTTTGTCCTCTAAGCAGTGGAAACTCCCCTTTGAACTGATTTCATATACCTGTGTAAGAGGATGGCTTGCACTTCTGGTTTCTTTATTTGCCTTTTCTTACTTATATCTATGGGAAAATTCCAAAAGTCAAATACTTTACAAGATTGGCTGCTATTCAGTGGAAGATAAATTTTCAAATGTGGTTTAATACTTAAGCCATGCTTAAATGAGCATTACCTAGTTATAGGAAGTTTTTAAAAAATTGTTTTAATGTTTTTTTTTTCCTGGTTAGTATTTTTTAAGTGTATCATTTGTGACTAATCTAAGAATATCTGCTTATATCCAAGTAATAAACTCATTATAAAATTCTGATGTTTTAGTCCTGGTATTGTGGCTATTAGCCCTGGTACTGTGAATATTTCTTCTATCGGAAAATATGAAAATGACTCATGTTGGGGCATTTGAAACTGGGTAATAAAGCACTTAGACCAGAGGTTTTCAGTTCCAGCTGACCCTTAGAACCAGCCAGTCTCTACTCTAAAGAGATTCTGATTTCATTTGGCATGGAGGCAGGATTGGAGCACCAGTATTTTTAAAAACTCATTCTAACATATAGCCAAGATTGAAAACCACTGACTAAAAGAACAAGGCCGATTTTATAGAATAAAGCGTGTTTGCTACCACAGGTCAGAGTTAGGCCTGTTACACAGGTCAGTCCTGCTGTGACCTTACATTCTATGGAGGTTATTTGATAGGCCTTTCTACCTTTAACTTTGAATTTGGGCAAATGTAACAGCACAGTGTACATTATAGATAAAAAAACTAGATTTGGGAAGTTAAAGAACTTAATGTGGATTTTTTTTCCTACTAAATTCTAGGATTCATAGATACTTAAGGTATTTTTACATAAAGAATTGAACTCTTCCCCCTTCAAAAAACTGAGCCACTCTTAAACAGAAAAAGTCAAAGTCAAAGACAAAGAAACCCTTACCCACATTCAGTAGTTAGCAGCATTTCTTTCATCTTGAGGCCTCATCCATTACTCCCACCCTACTAAACAGAAAAGACAATACTTTTGAGTTGTAGCCCACTTTTTAGCCCTAACCTCATACTAGACTATAGAGCAACTGGATTTAGTGGTTCTTTTGCTTGTCAGGGAGGTCCCTGGTCTTTCATAAGAAGAGAAAACATTTATTGTCCTTTTCTGATGTAAAGCTGTGCTCTCTAGGTAAGCTTGATACAAGACCAAGAACTGTAACCATAAGGTTTCGAAGACCTGAAACCATATGGGGACATAGTAAGGACATGACCATTATTTTGAGGGAGATATTTTAGACCTCCTAAGATACTTTGTATTCTTTGTATACTTGAAGTTAGGGACATCTTATCCTAACTGCTTGTTTGGTTGAGGGGTAAAGAATGAGCAGCAGCTTGGGAGGGGCCAGAACGGTGTGGTTCTTTAGAAATAGTGATAGTCGATAGTCGAGGGATCAGAAAGCCTCTCAATCCTGGTTCTTTCATTTTCTAAGTTATGACCCTGGGTCAAGAAATGAAACCCCTTGGAACCTCATGTTCTTCATCTATAAAATCCTTGACCTGCCTATTTCTCAAGATGATTATGGTGAGTCAGATTAGAAGACTGTGTATCAAACACTTTGACATTCGTAAAACTCGAGGAGATGTACGATACTATGTTACTACAAATCCAGATTTCCAGACATATTCCTTGGAAAGATGGAACAAAATCTTTCATTAAAACAAGTACTTTGCTCCCTTTATTTCAAGGCTTTGAAATAAAACTTTTATTGGCCTTGACCTGTCCTAGGCTGGAATTCAGGAATCTTAGGATTAGACATAAGCTAGTTAAGTTCCAGTAGGAGGTGTTCATGATCTCTAAAACAAAGAAGTTGTTTTAAGCCAGATTATTACTAAGAAAGAATACAGATAATAGGAACCTGTATGAGTCCCTGTGTAACTTCTTCTCTGTCATCGCCTTTTAAAAGCGGTGGTATTCCCATTGCTGTATCATTTGCCCTGATTCGGAGCCATCCTGTGGTCTTTCTGTTTATGAATTTTCATATAGTACATTTGAAATAATTTTTTTAATCATCAGAAAGCTTCAGAGTTTATTATTTAAATAAATGTCTCTCACCTTCATGGAATTCTGAAGATTATACTCCTCTGAAAAGGTTGTAGAAGTTTCCTTTGGAGCCTTAGAGGTGTAGGTCAGTTTACCAACCATTCTTGGGAAGCCCCTTTCAGCAGAAGCTCTCAAATTGCCTTTCTTATCCTTTGAGAAAATAGAGCTATTATAGTCTACAATGCTCCAAGATTTTATTTGGAATCAGTATTTATTTCAGTGCTCTGAAAATAGGACTCTGTCCCATGTAGTTTGTGGAGGGAATATTATGCATACAGTGAGCACTAAAAAACAAACAAACAAACAAACAAAAACAAATCCCAGATAGTTTATAAGTCATTTATAAAAATTTCAGAATAAATGGGTTATATACCTGTCACAACTCTCTAAAACATTTATTTCGAACCGGAAAGAGTTCTGTATGAATCCTTCGGAGACTCTCAATCGTGAGACTACACGTGTGATGAAAGTGTTTTGAAGGCTGTGAAATGGCACACAGATTAACTATGATACAGTGACTTCTTTTATCACGGTTCCTGCCAGGGAATAGCTTTTTTCAGTTTCATGTTGAGAACAGAGTGAAATTCTGAACATTGGACTTGATGACTTAATGCTCCTTCACTTGATTTCTAAGCTTTTATTATCTGAGTATAGCAAAGGGACACTGTTGGCTGGCTTTTCTCAAACGCTCATTGAATAAATATTTACTAAACACCTCTATGTGCCAGATGCAAGATGCGGGAGGTCATTCAGCAAAGCCCACGTGACCCCCACCTTCAGGATGTCCAAAATCTAGAGACGGAGGCAAACGTTTAGCACAGGGCAGCATAGACGTACTTTGAAGGCTCCTGTGGTTGGTGTGTGCTGCAAAGGGAAAGTTCTGTGTTCAGGGAGAGTTAGTAACTCGGGGCATAATGTTGTCTGGGGGACTCCTTCCTGAGGAAGTGATATTTCAGATGAAAGTCACAGGAGCCTCAGCACAGTGATCATGGCACATAACTTCTCTACATGCCGTTGCATGAAATGGAAGCATCTTTTTTCTGATTGTCTCGATATCAGAATTTCAGAGTGCCTCCATCAAGCCAATGACTTCATTTGAGAAAATTAGGGCAGAGAAACCCTACTTCTGTATATAGAAAGTATAAAATATGTAGAGTAGTTGAGTCACCTACCTAAGCTTGGTCAGTGATTCATTCACTGGTAGCTATGAGTGCCTACTATGTGCCAGGAACTGGGCTTAGTCATGCAAGGCCTGGCAGTAGTTGGTTGAAGAATAATTTTATTACTGACATTCTGCCTCTCAAACCTCTTCGCTTGTCAGACAGGCGTTTATCCCTCTTGAAATGAGACTTTTTATCAGGTATTGAATGAATAGTGGTAACATCATGTATTTCTGATTCTGTGTTTATGTGATTGTGTAAAACTAACCCTATAAATAGTTCAATCCTGTGGGCTTAGCTTCCAGAGGGTGGGCACCAGGTTAGTTCAAGGAGTCCTCAGATCTATTTTCAGCTGTGCATTTTTTCAAATAAGAGATGCTAAAGGGCCCAGTTACTCTCTTGGGGATGGTCCTTGCAACTTTTTTATAATCTTAGTTCACATAGTGAAAAACGGGTGGGTGCCAGGACGTTAAATGAGAAATGGCGTGACAGGTTCCGGTTAGTTTCATATATCATTAGCAGTCAGTGACAAAATACACATCCTCTGTGTTTTTTGATGAGTGGCCTAGTCCTAGAATGTAGCAAAATTAAAGCTTGAGATTCACATTATACTTGGGCGGGGGTTTTTTTAATTAATTAAATTTTTTTTATTGTGATACTTGATTGTGTGACTTAACAAACTTTAAGAGAATTGTCAAGATTTTACCTGTATATCGTTCTCTGTATGTGCTGCTTCCGTGTGTTAATTTACTGGAAAAGCCAGAGCATTTGTACTTTCTTCATTTTCCTACTGTCTTTGGTGCTACATGCATTTTACAGATTCTGTAAGATTTCAAAGCATTTAAATTGAATTGCTGCCAATTCAAAAACAAATTTGTTTGTGTTGTTTTTCAGTCAGTGTTTTATAACAATTTCTACCGTAAGCCTGGGGAGGGAGAGAATTTGTCTCTTTAACCAAACAGAAACCATTGAGGGCTCGATTGGTCTACTTGCGTTGTTTCTTATAAATCTGTTCGTGGGTATGCCCTGTGTGCTGTGGTTTCCATTTGATAAGCTAACCCGGACATTTAGCAGCCTTTTAAAACAAACAGGTTGAAAGTTAGATGAGTGGAAATATACCTATACCTCACGTAAGCTGTTGAAACCAACACAATCTTGGATATAATAAAAGAGCGAGGTGGTTCAAAGGTATAGCGTACCTCAGCCGTGCCATTATGCAGCTAGTTTAGAATGTTTTTGACCTATCACTTCCCTGTACCTCCTCACCCTTCATCCTCCATCAAGAGGTAAGCTTTGCCTTTTGTGCCTCTCACTTCAAAGTTATCTTAACATCTACTGCTTTAACATGAACTCTTAGGATTGGCAGTTACCTTTGAGTGAAAACAGATTTGGGGAGCATTTCCCACTTAGAAAGCTAATAATTTATAGTCTCTGAAGGAAGACCCAAGCCAGTGGATATGATTTGTCAGCTATGGTCATCTCTTGAGCGAGTGTGACAATGCACCCACATTGTGAATCATCAACAGAAGAGGAAGGAGGGGAAAGTACTTAGTGAGTTATAAAATTTTAGGAGAGAAGATGCCTGAGCCTGAGAGAAATTGCTGTTGTCAGCAGAAGAGCAAGAGGGTGAGATGACAGTGGAATTAGTGAAAATCTCTTGGAGCCAGGTAGGAAAGGACTAGAAAATACCCCCTTCTCTCCTGCCTGTCCCCCGCACTTGACACTCCACAGTGGTATGTGGTCCCTTAACACCTTTCTTGTCGAATGTCTCCAACTGTCCTGTATGTGAGCGGAATATTGCTCACCTGTGGAAATTAACGAGCAAAAAAGCTGACTTTAGGTCTTCACTCTTCAGGCACTTGGCCTCAGGATCTGTCTGTTTCAGTAATTACTGGTGCTTAATTTCTATTCCAGTGCTTTCGAACTTCCTCTGCAGTGATTTCCAAATTAAGGTTGCGTTTAGGAGCATTTTGTCTAATATACAGAGAGAGTTAGGCCTGGATACAGTATGTCACTAATTGAGCTGCCTCTGTAGGAAAGAATCTAGGTACCCCTCTCTTAGGTTACCAAGTAACGTGGCTGCTAACAGGTGGGCACTCTGGTGTCTGCTATATTGAGACTGGTTTTCACGGGTAGTTAATAGAGATTCATCCTCGTGGTATTAAGTGTTGGATTTTATTCAGAATTTTAAGACATTTACACTCTACTGGGCCTTAGTGTGCCCCGAGTGCTGCATTTTGCAGACGTTTGCTCCATAATGCTATGGAATCAGGATGTGAATAAGTACATTAGGAAAAAAGGATTTTGTGGTCAAATAAGCTTGGAGAATGCTTGATTAAAAGAATTTCCTTCAAGACTCTGAAGCCTTTAATATGCTTCTAAGCACTGTGATCCTCCAAAGCAAGGCTGTTTGCTAATTTCCCAGACATATTTAATTAGAAAGCCTCTCTGGGGGAAGGGCTGATACTCTGCAGGACCCACTTTGGGAAATGCTTCCCCCACCTTTGTGTTTCAAAGGAGGCTACAAGATGGGTCCAGCCGTTTGTGTAGAGTTTTTGTGGCATCCAGGGAGCTGGGGAGGGTATCAGATCCCCACCTGAAATGGCCTGAGAGATGTTTCTATGTAGGAAAGGTCCAGAAAAGACTGTGCATTAGTCCAACAGTGAAAAAGAGGAAGGAAGAAATTTGAAAAGCGTGCAGTGGTTGCTTGGCCATCAGAGTCTGTTTGAAGCAAACAGGACCTCGGTGTGGAGTGTTCATTCAGAAGAGCGGAGAGGAGGGAAAGAGAGGAGGAGGGTCCAGAGCAGCGGTTCTCAGCCTTTCACAGGGGTCGCCTAAGACCATCGGAAAACACATATTTTCGATGGTCTTAGGAACCGAGACACCGCTCCTCTATCTGTCTCCAGGCCCACATGCAGATACGCCCACATACGAGTACCCGGCAACCCCTGTGAAAGGGTCGTTCGACCCCCAAAGGGGTCGCGACCCACAGGTTGAGAACCGCTGGTCCAGAGGGTCCAGGCAGAGGGTCATTACAGCCGTGTGGGCAGGCAAAGCGTGCAGACCTTGAAGAGGCCTGGGTCGTCACAAGGCTCCAGTTAGGCGCTGGGGGGAGGGGGGAGCGGTGGGGGGCTAATATTATTGAACACCTTGGCCTCTGTGGCACCAGACAATTCTGGCAATTAATTACTGGAATTATTTAAATGACGTGCCTGTTCTTCAATACAGCCAACTCCTGCTTGTTTCTGACATTCGGCATAGTCCATATATAACATCAAAATCTTATTTTTAGATATAGTCACTTTAGCCTCCTTCCATGTCACACTTTTCAGCATAATTGATAAATCTTACAAAGCTTAAGATTAGGCCTTTCCCCACCATCTAGCCCTAGAAGAGAGATGAGGAAATAGACTGAACAGGGGAATGGCCCTGGGGGAAGGGATTGCCAAATGTTAAGGCTCACTGTAAAAAGTGAGGAGGTGAAAAGCAGTTTATTAACTAAAGCCTGCTTATTATTAAAGTTTATTAAAGCCTGTTTATTAATCTCGTCATTAAGTTGTTCAGTTAGTACCAGTAATAAGCTTAGTCCGATGAGGACACAAAAGCCCCTTGAACATGTGTACACAAAATAGCTGCAGAATCATACTCACAGGGAAGTAGATTGACAGGGACAATAAGCAGGTGCTTAGGAAATTCCCAGTGAGGGACAAGAACCTTTGTTTAAACTCTGGCTTTTCTGCACTCTAGCTCCGAGCCTCTGTTTCTTCTTTTTAAAAAAAAAAAAAATTTTTTTTTTTTATTGTTAGCTTCAGGTGTACAGAACAATGCAATAGTTATCCTTTTCACCCTCACAAAGTAACAACCCCCTCTCCCC